CCAACCGCACTACTATTGTGATATTTTTTAAATTAGTAAATAATTAAGTACGATTAAATCGTGCGTGTAAAATCATATTTTATATTATTATAATTATTGGGATGTTGCAATATGTTTGTTTTTAATTACCTCATGGGATGGACTGTTACTTGACTAGGTGCTGCGAAAGGACTACCTTAATGTCAAAGAACGGTGTGAAATTGAAATTGGTAAATAAATGATGAACCCGACAGCATACGGTAAATTCTCAGGGTCGCCACATAGTCGCCACAAGTCATACGTTAAACTGTTAAATAGAAAGTTCGAGCTCTTCTATGAACACGTGTAGAGTTCTAATTTATTCCATCAAATAGTTTATTTTCTATAGATTTTTGTGTACGAATATCTGCGTGATTTTTGAAAAATGGATATTTCCGAAGTGTGTGCTGTAATCAAGTATTTTGTGAAAAAAGGCTTATCAGCAAAAGATATTCATACTGATATGCAAAATACGTTAGGGGACACTGCTCCTTCGTTTTCAACTGTTTCGAGGTGGACTACTAAATTTAAACAAAGTCGCGAAAACGTAGAGAATAAACCTCGCGGTGAATGTTCAAAAAATATGACAACATTGATAACTCCAGAATCAATTGAAAAAGTTCTAAATATTATTTTGATGGATCCCCGACTAAAACTGTCCGAAATTGCTGAGACTGTGGGCATCTCAATCGAGTGTGCACTAAATATTTTAGCTGAAGAATTGTCTATGAAAAAGCTCTATGCAAGATGGGTGCCATGTTTGCTAACGAATGATCAAAGAGACACGCGGATTACGATTTCTCTAAAATATTTGGAGCACTTTCAGAAGAGAACGTCGGAGTTTTTACTCCGATTTGTAACTACTGGAACCTGGGTTTACCACTATTCGCCAAAAACAAAACAGCAATTGAGACAGTGGATACATAGCGATTTTCCGTCATCAAAAAAGGCTAAGATAGTTCCATTGATTGAAAGGGTAATGATAACGATTTTCTGGGACGCTGAAGGTATTTTATTGATAGATTACCTTCCAAAGAATAGAACTATAACTGAAGAGTACTATGCTGACCTTTTAGGTCGATTAGACAAAAATGTTCTTGAGAAAAGACCAGGTATGGCGAACAAGAAAGTGGTTTTATATCAAGACGAGGCACTCCCCTATACAAGTGCTGTTTCAATGAATAAAATCCAGGAATTAGAGTACGGTTTGTTGGAATATCCTCCTTATTCACCTGACTTAGCTCCGTCATACTTCCATTTATTCCCATTGTTGAAGAATTTCCTTGCTGGGAAGACATTTTCATCGGATGAAGAAGTGAAAGAGACAATTGACAGATATTTTGCATCACTTGACAAATCGGAGTTTTATACAGGAATAATAACCTTGCAGCGTAGGTGGTTCGAGTGCATTCGTGTAAAGGGAAATTATGTTGAAAAATAAAAATAATTATTAAGTAAACTTCTAATAAATAAGGTACAAATAAGAAAATCGCAGGTTTGATCTTATTGTTACCAATGCATATTATTATTATTATTTTTTTTTTTACAGAGCACACCTTTGTCTACAACCTCTGTCGATCGTCACACGGCGAAGAACTACAGCAAGAGCAACAGACCGGCTGATCCTGGAGCGGCGGAGCACTCGATGTCCGAGGAATCATCTGACGAAGCGAACAAGACCGTGCTGGCGAAAGAGAAGAGCCCGGACATCCGCGAGGCCAAGTATATCCGCAATCCCACATCTGATTACATCGCAAAAGCGCCAACGGTGGCTGATTATGTCAACTCCACGTGGAAGCCGGACGAGTATTCGAAAGCGAACACGGCGAAGATCGTGGAATCCGAGAAGTTTATCGAACCCTATAGGACGACAATGTCCGTCGACGCGACAGACGGCAAGTACGGCGAGCCAACGCGAGTAGCCGTCGCGCCGAAATCGTGCGACGTACCGCCGGCTCCGCCGCCGTATCACATTGCGGCGGCGTTCTCCAAAAAGGCCGCCTTTTTCCAGCAGTTTAATAATCGTACGTTATCATCGTTCACTAAAACCAATAAGTTAAAAATCGTACGATTCTCTGTAAAGAAATTTTATCCGCAAAATCGTATGGGTAAAAAAGACGATAACGTTAAGATTACGTGTGGATCATCTGTATAATACAGTATAGTTGGTAAAAAAGGAATTGATATACTTTATCTTCTACGGGATGATTTTACGTGAATAATATTACGATAGAAACGTTTTGCAGTATTTTTTTTTGTGCACATATTTTCTTTATCACGTATTTCTATCATTTGTAGACAGCTGACGTTTAAACAGGAAAAAATTAAAATCTAACGTGAATCTTTGTTTCTTTTTAGCGATTGAAACGGATGCGCATCTGGTATCACCTTCGTTACCTTTCAACTCGCTCTTAAATTCAGCCGGACCGTTACCGGATGTAACGAAACAGAAAAACTTTGATACGAACGCGGAATCGGCGAAAGCTGAGGAATGCGTGTCCGTGTCGTCAGGCGATCGGGCAAATCTCACCAATTCGTACGACAAGCCGATGGATAACGGACGAACGAGTTCTCTTGATCAGACCAGCGCGGACCAAAGTTGCACGCCGACCTTAAATTCCGGCGCCGATCCCGAACAGAACGATCGCGCTCTTAAGCCGAGCAAAATTCCCGTTCTCAAAGCGAAACACGTGGAGAGCTCGGGTAACGACGCGAGCTCGAGCAGGAGTCCATCAAGGGAGGAATACGACGCAAGCAGAACGTTGAGCGCGTATTCTGGCATACCCACGTCGCCGGTTACGGGGAAGAAGTATCGTAGTCCGTTATCAGCGCTCGATCGATCGAGGAAGCTAACGAACGGAAACGCCTCGAGCAACAGTTCGTGTGATAATACCAGCGCTCCGACGAACGAGGCGACGACGAACGTCGCTCGGGCGAATGCCGTCACTCCCGTTCAAACGAGCAGGAGCATCATCGACGCGTCGAACGTCACTTCACCCATTACCGCTGTCGCTAAGGACGAAAGCAGCTCGAGCCAAGACATATCGAACCACAGAACGAATGGCAAATCTCAGGACGACACGAACTTTGACGCCGAAAGTTTCAAGGAGCACACGAGTCCTATGTCGAACGAGACACCAAACTCGGAGAGGAAGCCGAAGTTCAAGTGGATGTTCGGCCCTCACAAAAACGCGAATGTGGTAGGTATTCTGATTTATGAAGGAATTTAGAAAATGGAATTTATGTTTTATGTGAAATGTTATTTTTATATAAACACAATTTTTGAATAACATACTGCAAGGAAACTTTATAAAAATATATCTGTACTTTAGAAGTAAAGAATTGTATATTTTCCATTATTATAAATTTAGAGAAAACAGGTTTTAAAGTTTATTATTTCTATGAAAATTTCTAATCCGTCTTTTTCTAAACATTGTATCTTAGGAACTAATAATGGACACATAAGACTCTTTATTATTATATACAATTTAAGCTCCTGGTATATTATAAAAAGTAAATTAATTACATTTTGACAAAAACTAAAGATACAACTTTTTAACTCTAAGGTACAAATGTAGGAAATAAAAATAAAAAAGTAAAAGTTCAACTTATTTTATATATAAGTTGAAAGACTAAAGAAAATTAAAGATTAATTTTGTCAAGATATATCTATGCAAAAAATAAAGTAATTTCTATAACTTTATGAATTTTCTGTAGTTGAAAAAGCAATTTACATCATTATAATGATAGCTGTAGGTATATATTGATTTTTCTAATTCTAGTACATTTCTTCGCAGCTGCCCGTTCAAGTGAAGAAGAATCCAGGTCTCGGTTTCAGCATAGCTGGCGGGGTAGCGGGTGCAGAGACCGTACGTGTAGTCATGTTAATTTACATTGAATTTTATTCGCGCATCAAGAGATATCTGAATATTCACGAGGCTTTTGTTGCAGGGAATAATCGTGACGAAAGTGAATCCCGATGGGCCAGCTCAGGGTACTCTTCGGCCGGGAGACAAGATTCTGGAGGTGGACGGCATCGACTTTACCAAATCGGATCACAATAACGCTGTCGCCGTTCTGCGTGCCACCGGTACTGTTGTATCTATGATGATAAGTCGCCAGCAATGATTGTAAGTTATTGGTCGCGACTTATCATTATAGATACAATGTGGAACTTATCATCATAGATACGTGGTGGAACAAAGAGGAAGAAAACCTTTTCTAATTCTTTTAGTAACTACAACTAGAACAATAATGTCTTTCTCGAAAGCTCTCTAATTCTGAGACACATCGACTAATCTGCCAACATTATCATCCACACATTCGGACATCCGTGTGTTTCGATAATAATGTTGGTAGATTAGTCGATTTACATCTATATCTATATGCGTTCCCCACGACGGGAGTGCCGACAATGTGCCAGAAAACAAAGTACTATTTATTATCCATATACATAACATATTGAGAAAAAGATATATATACTATGCATATATAAATATATACATATATTATATATAAACAAATTTATCTGTAGACAGGCCAGACGAGGTTCCCATAGGTCCCCGGCGGTGTAAATAAGTGTCTCGATTGTTCCCGCGTATCGAAGTGTACGTTACAGATATTTCCACGAGATGTTTCAACGACAAAAACTTCGCTTTTGAATTTACGATTGAATTTAGAGTCTTTTTTCCAACCTAGAATGCTAAAATATAGACGGTTTTTTAATTATAATTTAAAAAAACCAATTTTGAAGAATAAATAAAAAAAAATTTTTTTTTAATTTGGACCTTATTCAATGAATCGGGAATTGTAACAGAAATTTTTAGTTTTGAAATTAGAAAATATTTAAAAATACATTTTATATATAAGAAACATTAAAATTTTAATTTTTATTATTAAATACCTTAATTCTTAAGATACTAAAGTGTAATATTTGAAGGTGAGAGAGTGGTGATTAAATTTTTATTAAGATAAAGTTGGTTTAGAACTTTTTAAGGGATTCATAGGTGATTTTTGTCGGAAATATTACACGAAACATCCCATATGTATTTTCATCGTGAGATATATATAATGTCATCGCGCTCTTTGTTGTAATCGAATCATTTGTAACGTGGTCCGATCGTGTACAGCGATCTTTATCAGTTGTTGACTATCTATAGTTGTTGTTATTGCATACGGCAAAGCTATAAATTCTATGATTCGACGGATACTATAAAGAGGATAGCTGTTGTGAGTCAAGTGGAACCTCGGATTGTTCAGCCGAATGTTCGACTACGAACGAAAAGTTCGTTGTCTTTGTGAGATGGCAATTCGAAATAATATCTGTAGATAATCAAGCATTCAGGGTTATTGATAATAATTGCGCCTCACCCTGTGGGATTCTCGTCACTCTCTTGTCTGGTAGGAGAGAAAAGAAAATATTCTTCTATGTGCCGTACTTATATTGATAATAATGTTTATAATCGTATCAGTGTCAATCCAAGGACGTTCAACAATTGCGGCGTTTATTATCTATGGATATCTCTCGCATTTACGCTCTTTTTAGATTTATCCCATATCGCGAGAGATCGCTGTTCGATCGTTAATTAATCCTTAAACACTGGCGCGTACTTTCGTGACGTTAACGAAGGATATGTCCAATCCTTCGGTTATTACATTGAAGGTCCATACAAAAGGAAATCTCATATATCGTTTAACTCTTTAATTAATATTCGATGTATCCGTCAATTATAAAACGTGATAAAAATTTAATCAATAAAATTTTATTAATAAGGTAAGTAACGTTTATAAATTTTATGAATCGCGTGTCTGTTATGTATATACATATATGTATTTGTTATTATTTTATACGTGCACGAATACACGTATATGTAAATTTTATAAAAGTTCCACATTTCGCGCCAGTGCTCGAGGACCAAATGGATGTATACGTGTATTGTTATTCGATCTTTTTTATTATTATAATGTTCTTAGACTGTCGAGACCCCGAAACGCCTTTCGGAATTAACGCGACTGATTTAGCGATTAATTTGGCAATTACTCGCGTTTCCTCCGTTTATATCTCGTTGAAGGAACAAATCTGTACCTAGGAACCGTTCCCCGCGACGATTGTTAGTCGAACGTGATATTGCCGAACGACGGGCGAGATAAGACTTTTCCTCTTATCACCTTTCTTTTATCGGCATGGCTTTTGTCGATGCCA